AGCCCCGCTCCTTCTGGGTCAATGTCATTATCAGACCAGTGAGTTCATCTCCAATACACTTAGGTTGGCTCCAGAACTCACTTCCTACACGGAAGCCCTAGGGAGAAAAAAGGTCACCAGCATTCAATGATCATGTCTCTCTTAATCTCACATGAAGTAAGCTGAAAGCAGCACATGTTGTTTATAAGAAGAATGAACTAATTACAACCTCTCCTCACTCCATATGGACATTCTGATGGAAAAAAATCAAATGATTTTAACACAATGTATTCCTATTGATGTGACTCCTTTTAAGTGCTGTAAATACACAACAAATGACCTCATTTTAGCCCAGGAGCATTTCCTTTCAGAGCACCTTCCCAATAAGAAACTCTGCCAACTAGCACTGTAGCTTGATTGACTGGTAATAGGAATTTCTATGACAATCCCATCTCCCCAGCCTCTGCTGCTCATCAGTAGCAGGCTTACCACATGGCACTGCCTCATGCACTAAAACTCTTTAGCAAGGAACCCACGAGGGTAGCATCAGTTATTAACAAACACTTGTTACACCGCCATTTTAATCAAATGGTATTTCTCTTTGAAATAACCGAAAGCTCCATAATTCATTTCAGACCTGCAGTGGATGTGGCTCTGCAATGCCAGTGCCAATGGCATTATTCATGACACTAACATTCTAGCCCAAATGAGCCCCCTTTCTGAAGGCCAGAACACTCGGGACTCTGAAGTCGGGATCTCACCTTCCCATAGTGCAGAGCAGGGAGGCTCCGGATTCGGCGGTAATCCTCTGAAAGATTCATCAGCAGCTCATTTTCTGGTTTCCGAAGAAACTCTAAAATCGAGATAAAGAGAATTGCCTCTTTTACCAACTAGAATCTCCACAAAACCAGCTGCACTCCTTCCAGCTTCCTCTCTCTCCAACACTGTAACTCTCTTTCAATCTTCCTCACTGCAACTTTCAACCAGAGCAGAACAAGCCACTAAGACAGCAGCATGCACTGAACCTCCTCAGCCAGCACTACTGAAAATGTGAGGGTAATTCACAGCAGTGCAATTCCCCAAATTAGCCAGGCCATGGTTTGCCAGAGACACCAATACCTTACTGGAAGGTGTTTGGTTCACACAGTCCTATATGGCGTTCCACGCAGTGAAGTTGCCCAAGCTTTACTCACTACTCAGAACTCTCTGCTGCTTCTTCCTGAGTGCCACATTATGATGCCAGTTCTGGAGGGCCCTGTGCTGCAATGGTGGGGCCCAGAGAGACTTTCTCTTCTTTCCTTCACCATGTTTCTCTCTGAACTTCTCTAAAGCTGCCACTGTACCATCCAGATGTGAATCTGCAATCAGCTCAGCTAACTGCACAAAAATTAAAATGTTAGATTAGTCTATTCATCTATGCACAGGCACTACAAAAATAAATGGGACAAAAAAGGTAAAGAAAAGAGTGTTCTGAATTGGCACTGTCACTAGGCAACCACTTCTGGATCAGCAGAGGTTCTGGCATTCAGAGCATCATTTGCAGGCTGCATAAGACTACACCACATTGAATACTCCGAGATAAGGAATGACATTGCCCCATCACCTCACTTCTCCTTGTGCAACTTAGCACTTGTGCTCACATCAGAACCACTTAAGGAACTGAAGCCTACCACTGTCCAATTTCTTTTTCTGTGGGACTCTTCCCCAGACATGACTTACTAGGCCTGACATTGCAGCTACTCCGCAAATAATTTCCTTCCATATAGGCAAACCTGTCGCAGGCCAGAGAATTTCCTGAAGGATTTTCAATTAAACCTAAATCTACTGCACATATCATTAGAACTGTATGAATAATAGATTTTTTGTTTCACTGGCCAATTGAAAAAAATAATTTTGGGTTGACCCTAAACTACTTTTTTCAGTGGTGCCCCCAAATAAGCCAATAGCAAGGATACTCACCTGGGATGCAGGAAATCCAGGCTCCAAATCCTACTCTGGACTAGATACCTGAATCAAGGTATTTCTGCTCCTAGGTGCATGCCCTAAACACCAGGCTAATTCTTTCTTTTTCTGACTCAATGAGTATTTCAATATTTCACAAAAAAGGAAAGCTTCAACAGAAGGGAGACTTCCCCAGAATACCCAAAAGCTTGGTGGTTAGACCACTCATCTGAGTTCAAATCCCTGCACCAGAGCAAGAATCTGAACCTGGCTTCTCCACATCCTAGCTGAGTGCCCCAATCAGTGGGCTACTGGGTATAAAGCGGGGCATCATCACCTCCGCCTCTTCAGTTTTGAGAATGCCTCACAAATCCCCATGAGAATCTACCAGAAAAAAGTTGGGGATGAAAATGACAAGTTCACAAATAGTTTTGAGTCAACTGAAAGTCCATTTTTCGGTGAATAAACTATTAATGTAAAAAATTCATCCAACTCTACTCACGCTTTACCTCTAGGACAGCATTTGATAGCAGTCATTTCACAATTTTACAAACCAACCTCAGCATTTCCTCTAGCTAAGGCTTCTCTCTTGAATTCCTGGAGACTTCCTAAGATGTTGTGGGGGAGTATCTGTTCACGGTTATCAACAAATGGTCCTTCTGGCCCTGTAATAAAGCAAGACAGTCTGTGTGAGACCACAGAGATCACCCCTCATCAAACATAGTGAACAGAAACTGTAACTGAGATTGCAAGAATTTCAGGTTCATTTCTTGTCTAGTCACAGGTAGTTCTTGCAAAACCAAGAGTAACAGGTGATAGCTGAAGTTTAACCCTACCAGAGTAATTCAATGGTTTCTTGGATGCTTCAGCAACAATAGGATATGCTACCAGGAGCTGGGCCTTCTTCCCAGCCTCTTGGGGTTTGTGTCTTCGAATGAGGAATTTCCTGGTAATAGGAGTTTTCTCCCCTTCTTGGGGAAGGCGTGGAGTATGAAGCTATAGAAAAAGAATACACAATTTCAATGAGGTTAGAGACAGCACTGCCTCATCTCCACCTTTCTGATCTTACTGGAAAGGGCCTGGAAGTAAAGTACTCACCAAGGTCTGATTAAACCCTACCTTCACACTTCTGGCCTTCCTTAGAAAGGTGTGTGGTGTATGAAATTACAGTTATCAGTTTCAATAATATTCTCCAGTCCTGACTCTCTTGACTCTGCTGCTTTGATGGGGCTAGCGAAAAAATCTGAGTAACTTCCCCCAAGAATTTTCTGCACCATGGCTTAGTGGCAGATGCTCTCTCTTGAATAGTTTGGTTTGGGTTTCATACTGGTGCTATCTTTTTTTTTTTTTCAAAACCATAGACATCTTAAAAGAAATAAAGTTGGAAGTGTGATTCTGAATGCACCAGATGGTTCATCCCGACATTTAAGATCTCAGTACAAAATTAAATCTCCACTTTCAGCAGCTTTTTCACAAAGATGAGCTAAAAAATTTGACGATTTGACAGGCCTTCAGAAGTAGGGCAGAGACACATGGAACAAAAGCAAATCTCCTACAGTTTGTTTTGATGAGACTCTATACGCACACACCAAGCTCCAATTCAGTATAAAGGAAAAGTTTCAATGAAGGCAACTATTCCCCATGACAAGGGACACAAGGTTTTATACCTACCTTTTCTAGATCTTCCACTTTGATTGCCAGAGCCTGGATCTCATCTCCTTGCAGAACTGAGCTGACAGGCTCAGGCTCCTCTTGAATTGGTGGGGAGGGCTGCTCAAATGTCTTCACTTTCTTCTTATCTGAAACACAAGCACACAAGTGTAAAAACACTTTATCTTCCTTTCCCTTCTCTCTTGACTAACTGAGAAAGTCTAAGGGCAGTACTAGTTCTCAAGGTGTATGGAAAATTAGAACTCAGTATCAACTGCTCAGCACATCATGATATCCACATAATTTGAAAATGGACAGTAGGTTTCATCTGCCCCATCCCTTTCACGCTGGCTTAGACAAAATGAGATAATTTTCAAGTACTGTAGTACATTTCCAGCAGGCAACAATCTACAATGGAAACAGTACATGCATCTGACAAAGGATGCATCTTGCCCACGAAAGCTTATGCTACAATACATCTGGTAGTCTATAAGGTGCTACAGGACTCCTTGTCGCTAATGGAAACAGAGTACTTTAACAAAAGTTTCCTATTTCAAGTGGAAATTGAGCACTTTAACAGTTACACGCTCCACTGCATGTTAGTCCTTAAACAAAAAATCAATTGTATGTGTAAAAAAGATCTGTATATTTGCAGTTCATAAATTCCCATTGATCATCACAGCTTTGAAAATTTGATCTGCTAATGTCCTGATGAGTTGTGGCATTCTCATTACCTTATGAACTCCTTGTCTATTATGTCTTCTTTGTTTCTCCTTTTAGGCTTAGATTGTAAATTTTTCAGAGTACGAACCATCTTTTTGTTATGTGCTTAACAGGATCTGACACAATAGACCCTGGTTTGGGCCCCTCAGTGCTACCATAATTCAAGTAAGAAAAAAAACCCTAGCTTTAAAAGGCTTTTCCCACCTTTCACTCAAAGCAACAAAAGTTTTTCCAACCAGAAAGAAAATCAGTAGTAAGTCAGGCAAATTGTACTGATTTTTGAGACAGGCATGTTAACATAACTAGGAATATGAAGTAATATTTTCCAGTCCTTTTAAAGCATTAAAAAGAAATGTTGCATACCCTAACAGAGTGAAACATTCTAATTTTATGAAACACGTATTTTAAAAACAGATGAGATCATTGCACTTCTCAGAGGCAGATTTAGCAGTCTTCTCATTGACTATTAGTATTTAGAACTAATTCTCCCCAGGACTCCAATATTTATCTGGGTAAGTGTATCAGACATGGATATAATGTTTGTCTGTGACTTCCAGGTATACTGAGGGTAGGGCTAACCACATCATCCAGACCTACCCAGTTATTTCTATAATCTCGTTGGAGGTATGTGTTCCTTTTCTGTCACCAGCTGAAAATAATATTAAACGCATGTCTTACCATGCACCCAATTAGACGTATTGGAGACGCTGCTAGATTTCCAACATAGGTGCAACTTTGGGAAAACTTAGGCTCCTGGGTCCTGCCTTCCTCTAAAAAAGCTAGATAGGGGCAGGAGAAGATGAGATTTTCTCTTAGAAAGTTAATGCACAGTAATGCACAGTAGGTAAGTGGTAATGGTATTATAACCACTGACATGCTCAGCCTGTGGCCATTACAATGCTGTTAAAGCAAGGTCTGCTTCACTTAGGTATGTCTACACTGTGGTGCTATTTCAGGATACCCGAAACAGCTTTAAACGCTCCCACTCTTTCTCAAAATAGTTCCATAAGGGTTAAGGGATTTGTTGGAATAGTTCCTTATTTTGAAATTTGGGGCTGCCTACACAGCGCCAAATTTCAAAATAAACTCTTTTAACCTAGACTCGGAATAAGCTACACAATTTGCATAGCGCAAATTGCGTAGCTTATTCTGGCTGAAAGGCGCTGTGTAGACGCACCCCATCATTATGTCCCATTAAGTCCATGGCAGGATTGTCAAGGCAATGCAAGGTCCACTCAGACACTCCATCCGTTTCATGAATGGCTGGTGGCTCTGACAGTGGGCACCCCGTGTGCCACTGGATCTCTGGCTACACTGCCTGGGCGATGGCAGGGGGGGGAACATGGCAATGTGTTATGGACGCTGAGGTAGAACCAGGGCTGTGCCCCCCCCCCCCCCCCCGCCACTCCCCCCAGCCCACCTGG